TTATTTTATTTTTTTTAAATTGTTATTGATCAACTCAATACCAATAAAGTGTATAATTTAAGGAAGGAACTGGCTTCTGAGACACAAGTTACTTAAATTCAGAGGCCAGTGTTTCATTAATATGTTCTGGTAATGTCGCAATAAATTCATTTTCATTTTTCATTTTCAGTATCCCAATTTGACCCACTAAATAATATGACAGTATCATCAGCAAACATGAGCAGATCCGCATTTGACAGTTTAATTTGGCATAAGTCATTAATATATATTAAAAATAGGTTTTTCCAAGAATGCTGCCTTGTATATGAATTTAGATAACATCTCTTGGTATATGCGTATGTCAGTTTAGAATAAACATGTTCGACAGTAGTAAGTCGTTATTTCATGAGAATCCACCTACTTCGAAATGTATGAAGGTGTTTATTCTCATATTATTTCAGGTAAGTATATCTGTATTGATAGTTTCTTATTTTTAAAAAGTAAAGACCAGTATTTCGTTAGTCAGCTTTAAGCACTCGATGTTTTTACGCCATTATTGGCTGCCCTTAATATACAACCGCCCTAGGTCAGGCCCTACTGTGTCCTTTATAATACCTATAAATATAGCCGCCACTTTGTTGTCCTATTTTCAGAATTGAATATGCGCCCGACAGACAAAAAAAATTGAGTTTAAATTAAAAAAAAATAAATAAAAACTTAACTAAGACAGTAAAATTAAATGTTGCAAGTAAATTTATTATTAATATTTGTTTATTTAGTTTTAGCAAGCAGTATATTTTCTATTTTTATCAATCACAAATTAGTTACCAGTCTACCAGTACTTTTTAAAAACATCAAAAATATTAGTTTTATCTTATATTGTAATAGGTATAATTGGTAATACCTATGAAATTGCCGTTCTGCCGTACTGGCCATTTTAAATCAAAATATTATTCGGCTGATAATTCTAATATCAAATTAATTATTTTTTCTAAAATCGTCATTTGTTTAATAAAAGTACGCGTCGAGACGTGCCTTGCACTGCTCAACAAGCATACAAATGAAGGAATTCTAAACCGCATTGTTACTTTTGACGAGAAATGGACCCTCTTTGACATACGTAAGCGCTCAATAAGTTGGTTGGATCCTGGTTCAACACCCAAATAATGCCCTAAACGAAAACTTATCCCTAGAAAAGTGACTGTTTGGTGGTTTAACGCGGGTGTAATTCATTACAGCTTCTTAACAAATGGGACGAGCATTACTGCAGATGTGTAGTGTGAAGAACTGAATGTAATGATGGAGAAGCTTGCACGTCTCTAACCAGCTTTGGTCAATCAAAGAAGGACCAGAACAACATTCGCATCGAGGCAATACTTTATACAATCAGTAAGGCTATTTAATAAAATAACAACTAATAAAATAATTTATTTGTTATTGTTATAATAAAATAACAATAACAAATAAAACTATATACCATAATTATCCAACAATATAAAAGAAAAATAATGTGATTATGATTGTTTGGTATTACTAGTTATCATTTGAATATAAATGATTAAATTAGTTTAAAATAAATATTACTCTCTATGCATGCCCATTGCATGTTTACTGAACCACATTGAATGAATGATTCAATGTGGTTCAGTAAACATGCATCATAAACTATTATTGTTATCACTGTTATAGCATTATAGATAAAATCATGTGATTTTTGATATTTTTATTTATAATATTGTACGTATGTAAATACGCAGAGACAGAGAATATATTAGGAAACATAGAATAATTATTAAGTAACAGTATCTAATAAAAATTAAATAAAACTGACATATTCACTTAGGTTCAATCTAACCCTCACACGTATGCATAGACATACATACACACACACACAACTTTAGAAATGATTGACAACACTGCACACACTATGCTTGTATTAATATGGTATTTGACACTATTAAAAATAAGTTGCGTATTATGGTCATCCCGTTAGATAATAATGTAATAAAGTTTATTTCTTAGAATCTGCAGACAAAATATGTTTAGCTTCAGTAAAATAACGTAAGAAAATGCAGCATTTTTAGGAATTTTAATGAACGACGAAAACGCCCTGTAATTGGTTGTCGTCGCAACCAATAATAGGTTCTGTTTACCGTCATGTGACGTCACACGTAAACAGGAAACTGTCATGTCAACACAATGTTAATAGAAAAACATAAAATTTGTATTTATGAATACCAATTTCTAGCTCATTTTTATAGAGAAAACCAGAATAGATACAAATACAAAACATAAAATGGAACTTCAATTTCTCTTCTGTAATACTATTTCTTTATGTCATAAATAAATAGTTGATAAGTAAGTTTAGTCCTGACGTATTAACCGGCATGTGACGTTCCAAATAAACTTTAATAAATATTTTCATCGAAAATAGAACAGGCTCTCATGCGCAATTGACCGCCCACTTAAATTTTTTTGAAAACTTTATTTTAAATTGGATAATTTCACATGAAAAAAATTAAAAATAAACTTGCGATAGAAATATTATTTTAATAATAAATAAAAGTTTGAAAATACCGATCAATGAGCATTTTAAAGGTGATTTTAAAGCTATCCAAAACATTTTATTGAAATTAAAAATCGATTTTTCAATAATGCGTATTGCCTCCTCTGGCACTTATGACCTCCTCCAGTCGATTTGGAAGACATTATGTCTTGAATATCTGACTGTGGTATATTCTTCCACTCCTTGACCACTGCAATCTTTAGCTCATTAATGGAGGTAGAAACCGGAACTCGACCTCGTAACTGCCCTTTAAGATTGTCCCAAACGTGTTCATTGGGGGTTATATCTGGGTTGCGAGCTGGCCATGGTAGTCGTGCTATACCCACGCCATCAAGGTACTCCGTGACCACGCTGGCACCGTGCGCACGAGCGTTGTCATGCATTAAAAGAAAATCTTCTCCAATAAATGGGGCAAAAGGCATAACATGAGGTTCTAAGGCCTCTTCCACGTACCTCTGAGCATTTACGCTGCCTCTTTCAAACACAACCAACTCTGTACGAGCCTCATATCATAACAAATACCACCCCATACCATACTTGTTATATTATATTTCATTAATTTAATTGATTCCCCTTACACCATAAACTTATAATTTGTCCATGAGTTGGTACTAACGAGGAATTAGTTTTCGATGGGAATGCGACTAACCTTGGTATCCCACTGTTTCGACAACAGCACACTGCAAACCGAGGCGTCAGTACACACGCTGGCATCCATTAGGACCTCTTAAGGCTACTCTCGAATCATCAGAGAAGAGAACGTTCTTGCATTGCTCCATGGTCCAGTTTCGGTATTGTTGAGCAAATCGAAGTCTAGCTCTCCGGTGCTCTGTGGTCAACGCTGGAACTCAGGCTGGCCGAAATGCAGTCAAATTACGCTCTGCAAGCCTTCTTCTTATCGTCCTAATGCTGACGCTTACATTTCGTACCTCAAATAGGCGATTACGAGCCTTGGGAGCTGTAGTGCAGCAAGTTGTAGTGAACATTAAACACTATGAATCGGTCATTTCTTTCAGAAGTGCACCTCAATCGACCTTGTCCCGGTCTTCTAGTGTAAGATCCAGTTTCTCTGTATCGTCGGATGGTGTCACGTATTGTGGTTTGAGGTAATTCCAGCATACAGCCTATATGACGCTGGCTATACCCAGCATTTGAGAGCACAACCGCTCTAGCTGCACCAGCTGCATCCAATGGCATTTTATTGGATCAAATCAACTGACAAATTCTAACGCACCTTAAGAACCAAGAAACGCGTCTAAAAATTCACAGGTACTTTACGTAGGCGCAAAACAATCAGTTCGATCAGTCAATTTTCGACTGAATTCAATAAATAAGACTCACACTTGAGGGTATCGTTACAAAAGGGTCATAAGTTGTCTTTATATATCACTAGCTTTTACCCGCGACTTCGTCCGCGTGGTAAAGTTTGTCCGCATGACTTTACCAGTTACTTTGAGCAGCATTTCTAGCAAATATTTAGTAGGACTAGGTGGAATAAAGGAATTATTTGTTCCATTAGGTACTGATAGGTTCCAACTAATACATTTACATCCTCCATCATCCCTTATTTTATCCCCATGGGGGTTGAATTCATCAAAATCTGATTTAACCGGACATCTCTATCATAGTAGCTCCAATCTTTAATTTCAGTCTGTCGAAAATCTAAGAAGATTTATACAAATTTTCATCCCCTAATTTATCTTCTTGGGGGTATAATTGAACAAAATCCTTCTTTAGGGGATGCCTTCATCATAGTAGCTTTATGAATGCAAAGTCTCAGCCCAATGGGTTTAAAATTGAAAAAGTTTCATACAAACTTACATTCTCTATTTTATCCCCTTGGGGGTAGAATTGATCAAAATCCTTTCTTAGCCTACATCATAACATCTACCTGCATGCCAAATTTCAACCTGATCCATCAAGAAGTTTGGGCTGTGTCTTGATAGATCACTATGTCAGTCAGTCACCTTTGAGTTATATATATTTAGGTAGATTAACTACCCACCTAACATATTGTTATTCATCATCATGAGATGTTAGGTACTTTAAAGATAAGCCAGTTTTGCCAGTGGGCAGTTAATTGTGCCTCTGAGCATATATTGACAGTGTGTTTATAATGTATCTAACAACGTCAAAGCATCAAACACCCTTTCTTATTTGTTATATACGAAGACTACCAAAGAGCAGGTCTTCTGAGATACAAGTATTTATACTTTAAAGGAAAAACTCAATTTTTGTAAAAAAAATGTAATTAATAACGAATAAAGAACATTCTCATTATTTCTATGGCCATGGACCCAGGGCAGATTAGTTGGTGTTAATGAGTATAGTTACAATCAGGACCAAAAGCTTAATGTACATAATGAAGTAACCATCCTACAACTTGCCCTTACCAAAGTTGTTCAACTTCCACATCACAAACCAAATGAGCTAACCACTGCACCATTGAGATCCTTTCTTATTTGCCTATTTCCTTTTTATAACTCAGTAAAATTAAAAACAATTTCACTGCACTGAACATTTATTAATCCCCATTTTTTATAAAATGTCTGAATTACATTAAGTGAACTGGAATGAAGTGCCAAAGGAAACTTTATTTAATAAATTTATTTTCACTTATCTAATGCAATTAAGTAAAAAAATCATGAATTCACTTGTCTCTTACTTTGATAAGATCATTTAGATCTAATGCTACACATATTTCCTTAGAATCTGTACGTGGGTTTCGATCCAGAATTTCAGTTATAGGATAGTAATTATCTCTGTTGTCAACATTCCATCCTGAATACTGAAAATAAAATAAAAAAATGATCACCAATTTGTCATCATTGATAGTTCAATCTTTTAAAACAATATATCTTACCACACAAGTGCACTTGTGTAAAATTTTTCCATTTGATTCCATTGGAATAAATTTTTGCAGCAAAGCTTTTCCATCTATTTTCCACAAATTTAGTTCATCGAGATTAGATACCACTGTATCTCCTTCCCATTTAACATCAGACTTCAATAATACAAAATTGCCAGACTGAAAGAAACAGTTGTTATTAACAGCAATTAAAATTTTTTTTTTTTTTCAGTATGGACTTGTTCCGTTATACACGGAAATTTTGCCAACATCCCGTAGTGAGAGAGACACGTGATTTAAGAGACTGAACGATAGTTATAATTAAATATGTACGGTAATTAATCAATTCTTCCTTGAGATTGTTCTTTCTCTACTAAAAAAAAAAACAACTACAATAATTTAAATACATAAAAGGACAACACAAAAGCAAATAAAAAGTTAAATATTTCACAAAATTGTCAAAATTTACTTACATGGAAATGCTTTGGTACATCCTTAGATTGACTGGAATCTGATTTATTTCCATCTGACCCATTTTTCTCATCATCTGAGCCTTCTTCTTCATCTAATTCCGCCTCTTCATCTTCACCTTCCTCATCTTCCTCGCCTTCACCTTCACTTTCTTCTGATGATTCCTCATTTTTACGTTTCTTTTTTGTATTGTTTGGAGCTGGTTTGGATGTGCGTTTTCGGCCTCCCCGGGGAACTTGTTCATTCTATTTAAATTGTAAACAAATGATCATCTGAATGTGTACTTGGTTCTAATAGTAATTTACCGAGCAGTTAGAATTATAGTTTAGACCAAACAAATAGATATAACCTTTGAATACAATGTTCTATTAAAGTGAATTAATTGGAAAAAGTCTCTCTAATCATTATAGTGATTATCATAAACCATATAGAATTCTTCAATAAATAGTAACTTAATATAAATATCAGTATTACCGAATCAGCATCCGGCGTCCAATCTTCCCCTGAATCTTGGAATTCTTCTGGTTCACCTCCTGGCTCAGATCCGTCGGATTCGTCATCTTTTTTTACAGATTTACGTTTACGCATCTTGATAGATATCAAAATTAGAAACTAAATTAAGTATCGACACCAATCTCTTGAACCCACGCTGCGTAAATTATCAAAGCAAAGCACAGGGTAAGCGGCAAACGATGAAGCTTCGAAACTCTTCAAGAGGCGTTTATTATACTAGGATAAATGTACGTACTAGGTATTTTTAAATGTATGTTATTATCAGGTACCTATTATATGATCCCGAATCACATCTAGTATACGTAAGCGTCCTTATCTCTAGAAACAAATATCTATGGAAGAGATTATTGTGCGGGCGCCAAACATATTTACAAAGTTTGAGCCAATATCTACAAATATTTAAGTGAACTTTTGAGTCTGCCAAAATTGCTTTTAGATAATTTGTGATAACATTTGTTACAGAGACAGAACGGATGAAAAGGCATGAATTATATTTTTTAGGAGCTATGCGTTGTTACATGGATTTTTTGGATCATGATGTTAGTTCAATTTTAGAAGCTCGAGAAATAAGAAAGTATTTAAAAAATAAGGAAACTAAAAAAATTTTTGTCACTAGATGGCAGCACAAATTGTAGGACCTAAAATGTCAATGAGGAAGTATTAAAAAAACATTAGTTCCCGAAATCAAACTAGATGTCGCTACGGTACTTTCTATATTTCTCCATGTCACCCCTTCCGGTTTTCTTTCATGTATAAAAGTAAATTAATTTTCAAAACTCAATAAACAACTCATATTCTATTTGTACTTTTTCGTATTTGTATTGATATCTAAGTTTCGTCTCAGAACTTTGCAAATTTCTGTTTTTTAATATGTTAGTTAAAAGGAACGGAAATTACCATCTTTGGTCTATTCGTTTCCTGCAAAAATCAACTTTTTCAAGAGTTGCCATTTAGTGGATGTGATTTTTTAGTGCTTTCGTTTTTTAATAGCTTAAAATCCCTCAAATATAGAATTAATTTTAAGCTATTTTAATTAAAAGGACCTTGATCCGAAATAATATGCAGGGTATGATGATGGGAGGTGAACATTGGAACTTTCTTATTAATTACCTCAATCACCATGGGTCCAAAATAATATTCAAACAAACTTTTTTAACACACAGAAACACATCACTTGACAGCTTTTGTATAGAAAAATTAGTAGACCCAGTTCTACAGCACTCCTGGACTCCACCTCTCGAATTAATAATCACAATGTCATTATTGAAGAAATTGTTTCAAAACCATGAACAGCAAAAAAAGTACGACCTCAAGTTTTATATACGGTGAGACCGCATGCAAGCAAGTGGGCGGATGTGTGCATTTTTGTGTTTGTGTGGGCTTGTGTGAAAATGTATGTGTTTATAGTAAGAGAATATGTGTAAGTACGTACATAAAAATATCTACTCATCTTTATATCTATTGAATCTTTAATCCTTAATTTTCAAAATATCTTCAGTTTCATTGTAATTTAGACTCAGAAGGTATGATGTTACTACATTCTTACAATTACGCCTTGTCATACGATGTATTTCTAGCAATCTGTTAAATTCATTGTATAATTTACCACTCAAAAAAGGAAAGAAGTTATAAGCATAAGATGTCCTAGGAACACGTCTAGGACAGACACATGTCTCCTTCTTGTTTAGTTTTAGGCCTCGAATGATTCAAATGTTATAAGGGAATGTTGTTTTAAGATGATATTTAAAAAGAACAACTGTCTAACTGTCAGTACCTTCATATCACTGTATATGTAATTTGTCGAATAAAGCATAGATTAAAAAAATATATTTAAATATCAGTTTTTGTGCTCTTTCTAATTTTAGCATTGAGGTTTATGATGCACCACCCCATGAAGAAATACAGCATGTTATCACCGATTGACAGTGTTAATTTCTTATCTATAGTGATACCCAAATATTTAACACTTTAAATATTGGGTATATGTAATATAAGTAAAAAAATAAGAAAACTTACTTTTGTTTTCAGACAACTGCGTTCTGTTGTGGACAAAGAAACAATCAGGTACATTTACCTAACACTCTGTCATGTCCGAACGGGATATTTCAGGACATGAACAAACTGTCGAAAAACACGAGTGTGCATATAACCTATAGTTTTTTTGGGTTAAGCGACAAAATTTTAAATCACGTATAGAAAAGGCAACATATTTGATTTTTGAAGTATTTAGTGTCAAAAAATGGGCTCCCAACCAGTGACACACCAGATTAAAACCCTTCTGAGCTACACTTCATACCAATTTTCTCCATAAAAAGTAAGAGTTGTGTCATCTGCATCAAGATTTTCAAGATGTAGGTTGCAGAGGTCATTTATATAGCAGAGAAATAGTGATGGACCAAGAATGCTGCCCTGTGGTACAGTATAAACGTAAACGCCACAAGATCGTTCCCACTGATTAAATCATCAATCTTAACACATTGAGTGCAATTACTCATATAATCACTAACAATTTCAACTGTTCTCCTTGAATTCCAAGTTTATTCAATTTGTTAAATAACACTGGAAAAGAAACTATAGTAATGCATTTCTTTTCTTATCTTTTCTATCTAGTTTTGTAGCTAGAAAGTCAATATAATCATGAAGTGCACCATCTGTTGATTTACCAACACGAAAACCAAACTGATTTTCGGCTAGCAATTTCTTAGATTCAAGAAAGTTTAGTAATCTTTTATTAAAAAATTTCTCCAAGACTTTTCAGAGATGGCCAATGCCGAAAGGTGGCATTTCGCGGCACCAGCCAAAATGTGGCAGCGGTACTCCACATACGACAGAACCTGCGCTTTGGATTCAATGAACAGCCCAAAGTTAAGGTTAGAGGATATCTTTACTTCCAATAGCTGAAGGCAGTCGGTGTATTCCAAGGAAACATTTCGGAGAGTGGAAGCCAAAGTGAACGGGTTCTGTTGGACGGTGAAAAGACACGCTTGTGTTTTGGTGGCATTGAATCTCACTAGGTTGGCATCGCCCCATTCGGAGACTGCCTGAAGTGTGTGACTCATACACGCTACCATGGCCTCTCTTTCAGACTGTATTTGGTCTTTAGGTGATGCAGAGTGGTGCAAGGTGGAGCAGGGTGTGCCGGTTTTTTGCTCCTTATTTCTTTTCTTGTGCTTAGTAACATGTTAAAAAATTTGGTCAATCATCCAATTCACAGAACAAATGTGCTAACCACCCGGCATTCTTCATTAGTCCCATGTCGAAGTTCCAATGCGGACTGATGGTGCTAAAGCACAGGCATTCTTAATGGATGAAATCAATCTACCCAGTAATTCGTACTGGAACAACATGGTCGTCCTAAACCGTTAAAATTTAACCACCCATCCTATTAGCGGTATTTGCGATCATCGCTTGACCTCCGTAATCGCAGATCAAAGACGCTAACCAATACACCACAGATCTTTTCACTTATTAATATTTTTAATGATTTGGTAATCGAGCCGGTATACTAATACCGGCTCGATCTAGCCGGTCGAACCCACATGCAATTGAAGCGATATCGCAGACTATGAGTACGTACACGCAATACGATGTAGAGAAGATTTATAACCGATATTAACAGCTTGTGCAAACTCATGCGTAAACAAACACTTGCGATTCCCCATACATACATATTATAAGGGCACGCGATTCCTGCGATATCGCTCGTCGATATCGAATTTCAAAAAACGAAAAGCCTACAAAACAATTTAACAAGTTTATTGTGTACTATTATAGCCGCAGTAGTTAAAAACTAAATCATGATGAGTCTTTTCATGAATGAAAAGTCTTTTTATATTATGAAAAGACTTAATTAAAGTGTTATTGTCGCCCTATTAAAAAGGGACACCTCGGTACTTGATATCTCGCTCGGCTTGCTTTTCAGCTGGAAGTATTCTGTCATGTTATAAGTACTTTAAAAATCCATTGGTTAATCCCTAGAGACAAGACAGACAAGCATTGGTTATGGTGCTGCCAATATTGGGGTAAGCCTAGAATAAATAAAAACAGGTAATCTATGGTTATTTTTCTCATGGCTGTTAGTTGGTATTTTATATACTTTATTTATTATTTAATTTTTAATGAATGTACACACTTTATTTTACTATAATAAACATACAACTACATTGAAATATGTATATGCCAACTAAAAATGGAATTAGGGTATAATATATGAATAATGTTACGGAGAGTACGTGACCAATGAAGCTAGGAACGACATCAGAGATATTATCGCTTTTTAAAAACTAAACATAAATAAGCCTAATACATAAACTTTGGAAACGCTCATTATAACGGTGACTAATAAGTTTGAGTATTATTAGATTACTTAGACTAATTTTGTCGTCTTTGTTTATAAACACAGCACTGGATAACTTTCGAGGATACTATTTTATGTAAATACTAATGGTGTGCGGAATCGATTACCATTGATCGATTAATCGACTTTTCAAATAATCGATTGCTATCGATTATGATTTCATAATCGACGATTAAGCATCGATTATTTCTTAAAATGTTAGCAATAGGAATAGTTTAAAACGTTAGTATAGTACCTACTTACTTTACTTCAATGGCTTAGCAACCCATAGCGGATCGCGAGTGTAATTATTATTAGTAGATATTCTATTACTTATTATGGCAACTCTGGAATACTTCCACGAACAAATAGGTAACTTTACTCTTTGGTTGGAGAACTCCCGATGATTGAATGAACGGATCTTAGTTTTATTTTAACAAATACACATTAACCGTTATTTACTAAATGCACATGTATAGTATACACGGTACATACCTATCATCATCATCAGCCGTAAGACGCCCACTGCTGAGCATAGGCCTCCCCCATAGATTTCCACGACGATCGGTCCTGTGCAGCCCGCATCCATCGGCTTCCCGCAACCTTTATAAGATCGTCGGTCCACCTGGTGGGGGGCCTACCCACTGAGCGCCGTCCGGTAGGTGGTCGCCATTCCAGAACTCTTCTGCCCCAACGGCCATCAGTTCTTCTCGCTATGTGTCACGCCCACTGCCACTTCAGCTAAGCAATGTCAGTAACGTTAGTTCTCCTACGGATTTCCTGATTGTGAATTCGATCACGTAGAGAGATACTAAGCATTGCTCTCTCCATTGCCTGCTGCGTGACCTTGAGCCTTCTTATGAGACCCATAATGAACGACCACGTTTCGCTTCCGTAATTCATCACTCGCAACACACACTGATTAAAGACCTTGGTCTTGAGACACTGTGGGTGGTAATTTGGACGCGAAGATTTTTTGTAGCTTCCCGAACGCTGCCCATCCGAGCTGAATCCGACGAGAGATCTGTTTCTCGAAGTTGGACTTGCCTAGTTGGTCTGTCTGTCCTAGGTACACATAACGGTCGAAAACTTCAAGAGTAGTATTCCCAATTTTAACTGGAGTGGGTACAACATGGACGTTTGACATGATTTTCGTCTTATCCATGTTCATCTTAAGACCCACTCTTTGAGATGCACTACTGAGATCTTCAAGCATATTGTTCAGGTCTTCAAAGGTCTCAGCCATTAGGACTACATCATCAGCAAAGCATAGGTGTGTAAGATACTCACCATTAATATTGATGCCATATCCTTTCCAATCCAGAAGCTTGAAAATATCCTCCAACGTAGCGGTGAATAGCTTTGGAGAGATAACGTCTTCCTGCCTTACGCCTCGCTGCAATTGAATAGGATTAGAGTTCTGGTTTTGTAATCGGACTGACATAGAAGCATTTTTATACCGACACTTTAGTGCTTCGATGTACCTGTAGTCCACTTGGCACCTTTGGAGAGACTGCCACCGCCCATGTCTCGATCGAATCAAAGGCTTTCTCGTAGTCCACAAACGCCAAGCAGAGTGGCTGGTTATACTCTCCGGACTTCTGTATAACTTGCCGCAGCGTATGAATATGGTCCACGGTACCTTTACCATAGCCTTTTCGGAATCCAGCTTGTTCGGGAGGTTGGAAGTGAGCCTGCGAGTGAGACGATTCGTAATGACTCTTGAGAACAACTTATTAAAGTGACTCAAAAGCGAAATTGGTCTATAGTTTTTCAAAGGTGCTTTATCACCCTTTTTGAAAAACAGGACGACCTCACTCCCACTCCATGCTTTCGGCGTTTTACCTTCGAAAATAACGGAATTGAAGAGCCTCTAGAGGACTTTGAGTATCGGCTTACCGCCCGCTCTCAGAAGCTTTGAGGTAATTCCGTCGTCACCCGTTGCCTTGTGTTTTTTTTTTTCAGTTGTTTAAGAGCCACACTAATCTCATACAGACTAACGTCCGGGATTTCTTCGGTAAAGTGTCGGGTAAGTTTGGCTCTAGGATCTCTTGCCTTGTTTTCAGCAAGTATTTGGGTGGAGTAAAGCTGTCCATAGAAACTCTCGATCTCCTTTAAGATTTCCACTTTTGACGAGATGATGCTACCGTCGTCAGATTTCAGCCTTGTCAATTGTCTTTGCCCAATAGACAGATCTTTCACGAATACTTTAGAGCCTTTGTTCCGCTCAATTGCCTCTTTAATACATTCCGTATTAAATCGGCGAAGATCGCTTCTCAAGGACTTTGATATCTGCCTATTTAGCAGCCGATAACGACTTGCATCTATTGAGTTTTGCAGCCTCATTTCGTGTCTCATTTGCATGAGTTGGAGTGAGTCATCAGAGAGTTTCTTTGTTCTGGGACGGTGGGTTTTGAAGAACTTGGACCCTACCATACAGACTGTATCCACCACTGTGCTGTTTAGATCGTCCACATCCAAATCGCTGTCAAGTTCTGAAGCTCGAGTTGAAAACTTTCGGGGTTTTGGATCTGTGCAGGTATTGGTTGGAGCGTAGATTTCATCAATCGAGATCTTTCCAGCTTGATATTGATATTCAATGTGCCTCGTACCAGCCGATGATCGCTTCCCGTTTTAACGGCGTTGATCACAGAGACATCATTGAATATTTGCTTTTTTGTTGACATAATGAAATCAATCTCGTTTTTGACTTTACCGTCCGGACTCATCCAGGTCCATTTCCGATTTAATGGCTTCCTGAAGAAGGAGTTCATCATGTAGAGATTCTCTTTTTCCATGAAATCGGCTAGCATCTGGCCTCTAGAGTTCCGGCACCCAAATCTAAATTGCCCCATTCTCAACTCATCATCGCAACGTTTTCCTATCTTAGCGTTAAAGTCCCCCATCACAACCGTGTAGTGGATGTTGTAACTATGCATGGCTTTTGAGATCTCCTCATACATAGCGTCCACTTCGTCATCTGGGTGCGTCGATGTCGGAGCTAGACCTGTATGCCATTAAACGAATATCGATTTAATATTCTGAGTATTAGGTATGCTACCCTGGTCGACACACTTCCAATAGTAATGACGTTGTGAACAAGGGACTTGTAGACGATGAACCCGACACCGCCTAGGGACTGTTGATCACCCTCCTGCTAGTATAGCAAGTTACCGGAATCAAGGATTATTATATTTACAAGTCGTCGTAGATGGTAGCCGGATCTTACCTGGGGATTCCGCCGGATCTTGCCCTATTGTTACCGTAGTCGCTACCGTAACTAGGGAAAGTAGGGCTGCAGGGGACTAGGGGCCGATTTATTTTTTCCATAGGGGGAATTGCCATAATTGCCACGCTTAGCAGGCGGGTTAGCGATCGCAGTGGGCCATAGTTCTTAGGAAACGTTGCTGCCCATCTCCTGTGTAATGGCTGTGTTCCCTTAGTCGCCTTTTACGACACCCACGGGATGAGAGGGGGTGGTGCTATTCTTGGCCGGCATACACACGTACATACCTATAGCAAAATAATATTTTTTACATTTTTGTCTGTCTGTTTGTTCCGGCTAAACTCTGAAACGGTTAGACCAATTTTGACAGTACTTTCACTGGCAAATAGCTTATGTAATAAGGGATTACTAAGGCTACTTTCGACGTGGACGAAATCGCGGGTACAGCTAGTTCAATTCTATAAATTTTGCATGCACAATGCTGGTATAGTAAACTTTGTCTTAAAATTGATTTTTTCATTAACTTGGATGGCTTTAAAATACGGTGGAATTAATATGAACTCATTAATAAACATTTGGGGTAAAAATATTCAATAATCGTTGACATGAATCGATTATTATCGATTATTAATCGATTACAAGTATTAGTATAATCGATTAATCGATGTTTTTAATAATCGCATCGGCACATCATTAGTAAATACATCTTAACTAATAAACAAGCTAAACCTTGTTTAGTTGGAGTGAATTTAGGCTAAGACTGCACTAATTTTAGTCAAAATTAAACAGAGACTTAGCAAAGGTTAACCTAGTACAAGGTTCTACGGAAGTAATATTTCACCAAGAAGGTTGTAGGTTTGCTTATTCTCTGGATAATATGAATTCGGACCACTACAAAAATTCTGTAATTTAGCCGACGCTAAACCTTCTTTATTTGGCACACCAAAAACTCTGTCAACTTTATAATGTTCTCTGTCTAGTTTGTGAGGAAAACGTCTATTGGGTATATTATTTTTACTCTTTATTTATGTTTATGTTACTTAAGTTAATATTTCCGTACCTTTGACACTGGCAAATACACAAACCCTATGATGCAAAAACAAAAAGAAAATTAATCTTTTTTAATCTTATATATATATAAAAATTTTGTGTCACGATATATGTTGCCAATAAACTCCAAAACTACTGAACCGATTTCAATCAAATTTCACATGTACCCGTATTTTGGCCTAACTTACTGGATAGGATAGTTATCATCTCAATTATTCGCTTATGTCGTGAATGTAAACAAATAAAATGTTCTAATTAATTGTTTCTTAAGCAAGTGTTTATATACTGCTTAGTTTTATGAAGTTCTCATAGATGGCGGTGTACGCTAATTCATAGATAAAATTCTTCAATATCGTTTGACATCTAGGTTGCAAATTCACCCAATAGATGGCGCTGTGTTCTAAATGGCATTTATTCTAAAGTAATCTGCGGTAAAGTTTCTTTCAAAGAATTTTGCGTAGATTACGTTTTCGATTATGTTTTGTGTAAACTTCAGATCTGCTTTTTTTCATCTTTATTTCAAATTGCATTGAATTGGATTAATATCTTTAAACTTTCAAAGATAAAGTGTTGCAACGTATTGGACATTCGTTGGTATTTTGTTGTACTATCTTCGAACTTAAACATCAAGTTAATTTCATCATCAGCTCAAAAACCAACAGCGTTTTTGGAAAATATGATGCCCAAAGTAACTATATCACGCGGACGAAGTCGCGGGCAAAAGCTAATATAAAATAGAAATATTACTTTGAGAAAAACTAATTTAAAAATGTTTAATAGATGTCTCCCATTTAAAAAGTAAAACGATTTTCCACAATAAACAAAGTTGTGCAATGCACGTAAAATAAAATATTTAAAAATATATATATATATTTATATGTCCAATATTTTTATATCCGATATTTATATTTATCTTTATATGTCCTATAGAATAGAGATATTAATCTGGCAACATTTCATGGTAGGTAGAAGCGTTGCATTGTCATAACAGCTGATTGCGTCATTGGGAAATAAAGACAATAACGCAAAAACAAAAAACAAGTCGTAGTATTCGATTGTGTGTATTTCAATTTCTTGATATCGCAGAAATTTCAGTGTATAATAAATCTCAAAATGAAATTCCAATATAAAGAGGAGCATTCCTTCGAGAAAAGGAAGACTGAAGGAGAGAAAATACGCAGGAAGTATCCGGATAGAGTTCCAGTTATTGTTGAGAAAGCTCCAAAGGCTAGGCTGGGAGATCTCGATAAAAAGAAATATTTAGTTCCGTCTGATTTGACAGTTGGACAGTTTTACTTCCTCATTAGAAAACGCATCCACCTAAGGCCAGAAGACGCGTTGTTCTTTTTTGTGAACAATGTAATCCCTCCTACGTCGGCCACCATGGGCTCACTTTACCAAGAACATCACGACGAAGATTTTTTCCTCTATATAGCCTTTTCTGATGAAAATGTTTACGGAAATATCTAAATTCCACTACTTATTTCATTTCTAAACCATAATTATCTTTTGTCAATATGGTGGTAAATAAGATTTAAGACTTAGCTTATTGATTAATGTCTTACGTTACAAAGGTGATAATTATTGATTTTAATTTGCAATTTTAAGAATTCAATGTGTTTATAGTAACTTGAATCATTGTAGAAAATAAACATTGCTTTGTTCAAAATTCTCTGTTTGGTTTAGGAGTGTGATTATATCTGTACCAAAATAAATGCTATAAACAGAATCCTTTTTTATTTACAACCATTTTATAATGTATTTAAAGTTGTCTTTAATTGGTTTTTATGTTTCATTGAAGTTGCTCCGACTCCTAATGTAATAAACACCTGTGCAAGTAAGTTTGGTACATTCAATGAATAGCTGATTATATTACTTACATAATATTTTTGTATTACTTACATTACATTTTTGTAAAAATAACATTAGAATAGTCAAATTCAGATTAAGATTTTTTTATTTCCAAAAATTTAAAACAAATTAATTAACGAACAAAGATTTTAAATCTATATGGTTTAAGTTAATTGTAATGGTTTGAGAACAAAGACTTTTTGAAGTTAAGCTTGCCACTTGTCTCTTGTGTTATGATCTGTTCAACAGAATAGAAAGGTATGTTTCTAAATATAAAATTCCAAGTTTGTATTATAGGTACACATAGCAGCCCCACATTAGGTTCTCATAAAAGGGTACATTTCTGCAAACAATTTGAAAATTATTGATATATTATGGTGGTCAAATAAAATCTAGGCAAAAATTTGTAATAGATAAGTTCTTGTTATATCTGAAATTCCATCAAGCATAATAACGTATACTTCCTTTTATACGGTCCACAGACTGACTGTTAAGTGTGCAAGGTTGATGTATGTCGTATTACCAGTTATCCGACTGATGATACTCGGCCTATTTGCTGCAGATTGTACCGACCTTAAATGGTGTTTTTAGCGTGTCCTTCAGTATGGCACTAAGACGTCGTGGGTGGGGCACACTCTTGGATATTAAAATAGATTTTTGACTTATTTATTAACCTGTTACGAAACAAGAATAACTGTTTGCCTGGAAGAGATCTCTGTATAGTTTTAAGGTCATCTTCTGTACAACACGGTATTGTATTGATTTGTGATAGATAAATAAATAGCTAAGCTATTTAGCTTCTGAGATAAGAGTCATTATTTTTTGTCTCTGAAAATATTTACTTTAGAAATTTATCAAACCAATGCATAGAAGTCTTTGGTCCAATGTCAATTACTGATAAATTATGGGATTTTATAATAACATATAAAGTTTTTGAGATAAAATTTTTGCTGTACAAACTTTACCAGAGTACAAGACGCTACACTCTCGGTCAGTTACACAAACGTCCATTAAGGTTTAATGGCACCTTTAAGTTCTAATGCATGTCAAATTTGTATGGGTAATGTCGCTTTAAACTAATGTCAATTTTAATGGACGTTTGTACAACTGGCTGTCTATCTTCTAAACGACGTAATGACCCATTTCGTAACGGATTGCTTAATAATGGGACTCGGTGAAACAAGAATTCATTTTAAAATTCAAGAAGGTAGAGTTGCCAGATGATTACTTTTATAATTTATTAGGTTGGCGCATTTTGGGCCTATCGGTTTTGCTGCCCCTTAAATAATGAAAAAACCAAATTTTTTTGTCATAAGTAAGATAAGGTCCAGTCCATTATAGAAAAAACTATGAATATCATTACAATAATAAGATAAATACGTACGATTTGCGCAGCCACGGGCCATTATTATGTCTTGCAGTTCTATCATAGATTAGAATATGACGTCCTTACTTTCCTTGAAGTCAGGAAACCGACGGTATTTGCGATTTCGCATTCTCTATTAGTCGTATGCCAGATAAAACTATTACTACTAAAAGCTCAAGTAAACCAGTATCAGTATTTAAAAATATATATATTTAATACAGTGACAAAGATAATTAACCTAATGAATATACGAAAGACAAATGAGATACCTAGAGTACAGAACTCACGGATTTTCAAAAAACCTTAATACATATTAGTGCTGGCATTTTCTTTTTGGTGCTGTTTCTGGGATATGGTGCCCTAAACAGCATTGCATATATGATAATCTGGTACTGCAGGAGAGTATTGATAAAAATCTCAAAACAGTATAAAATTCAGAGTGATGACTCTGAATTTTATTTCTATTTGATACGAAATATTATCAAAATCCTAATTTAACTATACCTTAATGTATTTCTTAGTTTACCCGTGGTTCCGGTATTTTGATTGGGTCATTAACAGGTACACAAATGATAATGAAAGAAAAAGAAACTAAAGACTACTTTATTCTGATAGGATAAGATCGATATTTGTGCAGGATTCGAAATTTTGCTATTCTGTTTGGGTTACTAGAATAATTCTACAGCTTCTATTAAATAAATTTTATTGAAATTGAAATAAAACAATCAAATGTAGAGCCTTAGCAATTTTATTAATGTTCTAAGATATAATTACGAATATGGAAATGTTCGTCTTAAATACTAAATTGTTGAGACTTTATAATCAAAATTTAATAAGTAGCATAAATCAATAATTTCTGTCAAATCCTTTTTCAAATTTAATCAATGATTTGTTTACAAAGGTAGGTCTAAAGTTACAAATGACATTTCAGCAATAATTATAAAATACAAAATTTCTCAATACAGACACATTTAAGCCTAGTCAACTGTAAGTAGTTTTAACTACCATCTATTTACTTATCAATGAAAATGGAAATATTATTATACTTAATAGGAAATACAAGTACTATACGTAATCATTAGAACCTCATATAACTATGTGATCTTCGTGAAGGTCGTCCTCGAGAGCGCATGCCACGACCTCGCGCGCCACTCTCGCTATCTGTAAATAGAAAAAAAAAGTGTATAGTCATTCAATAGGTGCATTCATGTGGTTCGACTTCTAATACAGCACACTAGGGGTTTAGACAACTATTTTATATTTTTATATTATAGATATGTAACGTCACGCGCTGTTCCCTGTCACGTGACGATTATAAAATATAAATTTTATCATAATTAATTTAAGAAATATTATAAATATAACAACCATAAAAGCGCGATTATCGGTATTAGTATATTAACCTCTATCAGAAAAAAAAAATTGTTTTCATTTACAGTCTACACCCGTATTTTCAATAGGATAGAATCAAATACATAATAAGTTTAAACGGTTTTTATAATTGTTAATGATTATCTAAACAGGTAATGACGTTAAGTGGAATGACCTGTTTCGTGCGCATTTTGTATGTATCTAATTTGTATTCGTTTGATAAACAAAGTATTAACTTTTGATATGAGTCACATCACAAAGAACCTTTTTGGACGACAATACGACGTTTGATTGTTATGACAAACAATTTATAGCAGTAGAGAAATCGCCAGGCAACAAACACATTTTAATTCGATTTTAATACACGCAAATATGTACCTACAAAAATAATCTAATACAATACATAAAGAACTACCTCAGCAGTATTATAGTTCACTTACAGATAATTCACTTAATATTAACAAACCTTTCAAGTGTTCATGTATATGGAAATTTATTTTTGTGGGTGGAGTGTGGTGAGCATACTCTAATATTATCTACGTAGAGAAAATATTCAGTAGTGCGTACTCTCGTTTTTTTATAACATAATTTTATTATTATATTTAAAGTGATTGTTTATACTATTTTATCAGATGATTATTAAATGATAGAATATATACCGTTTAAAAGTACCTATCGACTTCATACTTTAGAACTACATGTAACGATCATTCATAAATATGAAATCGATCTGCGCGAAGCGGTTCGGGGCGATTTAAATATAATTGATTCGCATCGTTAAATGATAGTGAAGTATGATAACAATGCATTACTCAAACTGTTGAAACATCAGTAAACTGAGAGTTACATTAATTAAAAATGCATTAGTCCGTTACTATCTTGTATGTAGAACTGTAGGACTAATATTATTTTTACTATACTTGTTTAATGCCTTAGTAGCTCGTACGAATATTTTATATATCTAATTATTACTATTTAGATGGGTTTTGGGGATATAAGGTTTTACTTGTGAAGGATTCATGTTGGAATATTCTTATTTTGCCTGCAAAAATTGGCCAACTAAATAGAGGGCACGGGCGGTTGAAGACTGTCAAATTTTAATTATTTTATCAATGCCCATTTTAATAGGGCGGGGAAGTTTCTTCGCATTTTATATGAAAATTCAAAACAATTTTTAATAAAGTTCGTTTACATTTAACTAAAGCATGTAGGTGCCATTTTGTTTGATAACTTTTTGCCATCTTGTAGGTAGGAACATGATCCCATCGCTATAGAAATATTGGGGCTTTTGATTAGAAAACCGCAACAAGTGGTTTTGACAGACCTCGTGTGATGTTAACCGGACACTGCCTAAACAATTCTGAAGAGACCGCGAAGTAGGTCGAAATCTGAAGGCCAATCTCTCTTAATTTTTTGCCAAGTGGCAAAAATGTTTGAGGTCTAGCGTTATCATGATGAAAAACCACACCGCTATTGATTAATTCTGGCCACTTTCTCTCAAATTCTTGCTTTAATTGTTCGCAGTAGAGTTCAGGATCGATTTCAAAATATATCGAATTTCTTCATTAGATTCACTCATTTTAAACAGTAAGAAAAACAAATGAAAAAAAAATAGTTTTCCTGATTTGAATTCAGAGAACTTTTTCCCCAACCTAATATAAAGGTCTTTGAGGTAAACATAAAATGTAATATTTCCCTCAATATCTCATATGTGATATGTGATAATTTTCAAATCATAAGTTCGTGCCTTTTATAGTGATAGATGAATATTATTATTCTTACCTAGAGCAGTAAAATAACCAAATCTGGACAGACTTATTGACCTTTTATTTGTAATGAAAACGGTGATAAACGTACAAGTGAATATTTCAACGGTCTATCTATTAAGGTTCAAAACATGCGTCCCTGCGACAGAGGTGAAACTCTAAAAACGATCAAGTAATGTAATAATTACATATTTGCAACGAAGGTCGCTTTACCTCGCTTTAAAACTAATACGCATTGCGTTGCGTACAATGCAAAAAAACCTTGTACTCGCAGTCATACTATTATATTTTAGGCCCTTGTTCATCCCCTTTTTGATTATGCAGATGTTTGTTTCTGTAACATCAATCATATATTTCTCGATAAGTT